GCGCCTTTTTTGGTTTTCGTCGCCATGTCCCTCTTCGGGGCTTTTGTTTTTTCGGCGTTCGTTTCGTTTTCGGCGCCATTTTGGTTATCGGCGCCCTTTAGGTTTTCCGGCGCCCTTTTGGTGTTCGGCGCATCGTTGGTTTTCGGCGCCTTTTTGGTTTTCGGCAACGTTTTGGTTCCTGCTGCCATTTTGGTGTTTGCCGACCGTTTGGTAGTCGGCGCCCTATTGGTTGTCGGCGACCCTTTGATGTTCGGCATTCTGTTCATATTCAGCGGCCCTTTGGTTTTCAGCGCTCTTTATGGTTTCGGCGCTCTTTGGTTCTCGGCGCCCTTTTGGTTTTTGGCGTTGCTCTGGTTTTCGGGGTTCTTCTAGGCTTTCGCCGCATATTTGGTTTTCGGCGCTCCGTTAGTTTTCGGAACGTTTTGTGGTTTTCGGCGGCTCTTTTGGTTTGGGGTGTTTTGTTGGTTCTCGGTGCGTTCGGTTTTCGGCGCTCCTTTCCTTTGCACGCTTTGTTGGTGTTCGGCGCTTCTTTGGTTTTCGGGGCATCATTGGTTTTTGGCGCTCGTTTTGGTTTTCGGCACTCGTTTGGCTTTCGGCGCTCCTCTGGTTTTCGGCGCCCTCTTGGCTTTCGGCGCGGGGACGGGGGGGGGGCGCTTCTGGCGGGGGAGGTTCACGAGGGGGAGGGGAACTAAGCCCTCCCCGTTTGGAAAGAGAGGGGAGGTAGCTTCCGGAGCGCGAAAGGGGGTGTAGCTTCCGAGGGGCGGGGAAAAGAGGGGGGTGGCTCCGGCAGAGGGGGGTCCAGGGGGGGGGGTTAGCTAAAGGGGACCCCCTGGGAGTGTACCGCGGGCGCGCTCTTTCTCCTTCTTCTGTCTAGAAACCCGAAGCAGCATAAGTATCAGCTGTCGGCGCTTTGCGCAGATTTCTTGGATCGGAACTGGGCCCCCTCAGCGGAACCTCGGGCGCCGCCCGTGGCGCACTTACAGCGAGCCATGGAAGGGGTCCCCTCGCAGATCCAAGACATCCGAGCGGACCTCCAAAAGTTTATCTTTACATCGTTGTTTGTTCTTCTATGCTCCACTCTATCTGGGGTCCGAGCCTTATCCACTGCTTGGCCACTGCTGCTGCTCTTGATCCCGTCTGCGTTGTCATTGCCCTGGCCATGTGTATTCTTTCCTCGGACATGTTTTGTGTTGAGAAATTCCTTTCATGGCTCGCTTGTTGTGTTCTGACGGCCGACGCGATGCCCGCGTCCGAACTTTCTCAGAGGGTGCAGGCCGAATCGTTTTACGAGGGCCGCTTTACTTGACTTCTAAAGTGCCAAAGTGCAAATGATCTGCTGACTGTGGCGGCGTCGTTTTCATGTTCCTCGTTGTTTGTTGGACATCCTGCGGTGTCCCACTTAGCAGGGCATAATCCAAGTGTGTATCAGGGTCGTGGCGGGCTCGCGTTCAGAACGATGCTCGCGCCGAAGGTGTGCTGGAATGCTGTGAGTGCGCTCGCAATCTTGCCAGTCTCACGCATCGTTATTTGGGACGCGCGGTGGATTCCTCACATTCTAGACTTCTGTGCGTCGTGGCAGTGAAAGGGAATGGACAGGTCCCTATTAGAAATATCATATTCGGGGGTGATTTTTCAAGTGGCCTTTCGCCTCAAACGTATTTGACTATATGCTAAATACATGCGGCGCGTTCCGTGGTCACAATGTCTACCATTTCCATTTTCTTGTACGCCTCGTCCTTTTCATCCGCCTTCCAACTGGCCGTATCCTTTTCTCCCTGCCTTCGCATTCTCCGTCCTCCCGTCTGCCCTTCCTCTTGCGACTCCGATCGGTGATCGGTTCGAAGCTATCACAAGAACATGTCGGCGTCAGACCCAAGCGTGGCTGCGCAGACGCCAGTAGGGAGCTGGGAGTAGAGCTCATCGCCTCTCTCGACATTGAATTAGACTCAGATCGCGTGCGCCATTCGGCAATATTTTCTGCCTTGCTGGATTCCGGCATTTCTATGTTTACAGTTTGTGTGTCGGGACGGCTGTATTACGGAGTCAGAGGAGATGCGTTTTTGTGGAATGGGGCGGAAACGTGGCATTTGACGTTCAGCGGGGTGTGAATGAAGGGGGCCCGATGTCTTCGGCATAATCCGTTGTTGGGCAAGTTTTTATTCGATGCACGTGGCATTGGAGGGTGTATGGGAAATTGGTGGTACACGGCATCAGCGGAAATGGATTCACGCACGTAGCATTCGTGGATGACCAGACAGGCTTTGCCAGAATATTGACTTCCATGAATAGAACGAGTCGCGTGTTCCAGGATAGCATGGCAAAAATGGGCTTGGATTCGCACACCACCAAGTGCAAGGAGCGAACCAGACCGAGTTCACACGCAGACGCGCCGCCGTGCAGACGGACGAGTTTTCAACCGAAGTGTCAGAGCCCGGCGAGCACTTGGAACTCTCAGGCACCAGAATTTCCCTTGAAGATCCGACCGGGTACGAAGTGGAGAATCGCATCGCTTGCGGATGGTGCACACCGCTCATATTCATTGCTGAAAGATTACATCTATTCAGTTATATTGTCACGAAGTGCGCTCTTTGAACTTCCGAGTTCTAGGCGCCCAGAGCGGAGGAGTTGAGAAATTTGCCCGAGCGTCAGGATTTAATACTGCGGAGAATCGTGGGCCGCGGCCGCGCCGGCGGGGAACCGCTTGATTGGGTCCCGAGAGCCAAAAGGCGATTGCGCCACCTTGCCACAAACACTGGATTCAAGGAGTGGGCGCTGGAGCACTTCCGCAAAACATGGCTCCTGGCTGGGCGCGTGGCCCGCGCGAGCGCCATGCGATTGATTCGGGGGCAACGATCGGGGGGGCCATGCGTAGGGGGGGTACATCGACCCGCAATCGCCCACTGATCGGCGATAGGGGCCCGATTGCCCCACCCCGCCCAAGAAGGTGCGGATTCACCATCGGGGGCCTATCGCCGATTTATCGAAGATGTATCGCCGATTCTAGGTCGTTGCATCCCCCCCTATGCTTATCCCCCCTCTGTCGTTGCCCCTCATGGATGAGTGGTGTGACATCGTGGAGGAATTCCTCCTGGTAGGCTGCTGCTGGCGACTGGGGATCGCTTCGCCCGCCGAGTTTTTCGAGTCGCAGGTGACAGGACTTCCATCTGCCGCCCCCCCCTCCCTGCGCCATCGTTTCTGCTTTAGCGCGACTGCCTTTGCGCTCGCATTCCGGTTCAATGTTAATTTTCTTTGTCGCTCGTCCTTCGTTTTTCGTCCCTCTCCTTTCTCTTTTTTTCATTTCGTCCATCCCGCATCCGACGTGGCACTTTCCAGTTCGATTCAATCTGTAGGGGTGGACCAGCGGCCCATCTCGGGGTCAGTTGGGGCGCCTCCTGGAAGGCTTTGGGGCGTCTCGGGGGTGTATCGTGGACCCCTCGGAACCCAGGGGGCCTGCGGTGGGCGCCCGGCCACGAACAAGGTTCGCACGAGGCGCCCATGGGCGACCCTCCTGGAATTGCCAGCCCGTGCGCGGGGCGCCCACGGGCGCCTGCGGGCGGCCGCAGGGCGCACGCCAAGAATTGCCACACATTATTGAGGAGGGCACGAAATAAGCCTTGAGTGTGAGCGTTGTTTTGGAGACCAGAGGACACGGTGGCTGATGATGAAACTCGGGATATTTGACCAAAGTGCGAGACCGAGTTCGGTCCATTACATTTGACGTGGTCAACAGGTTCAGCAATGGTGTATGACATTCTATGCGATGGCGTGAAACATACACCGTTTGTGCTGCGCATGTTGGGAGGATGCATACGCGCATCGCCCCGACAGCAAAACCACCAGGAGCGGTTCCAGATGCCATGCTGCTTGGTACGAAGCGCGAGACGCCTGGTTCTGACCGAGAACCTCACAACATTATTCGGGGTTGCAGAACAGCATTTGTTGTGGGGACGAACGCAGCTGCTTATGCGGACCTTTCTTTACCAATGAAAAATTTGGTATATAGTGGCGGATGTCCCACGCCGCCGACTATTGGAAATGCGTGGGCACGAAACCGTGTGCTCATTTTTGAGGCGCCATCATACATAACAGTGGTTGTTGCGTGATAGTATGAAGAGCTCGTGGGGTGCATGTACCAATCAATGGATTATTATGCTCGATTTGGTTTGCATGTTTGATCGTGCCGCTGCGATGCGAGAAGTGTTATGGTGTTATGAATCCAAGGTTGCACGGCGACGCCACGCTCGCCACACTAGCCCTGTCCTAGTCATAACCTTAATATTTTATCGGATTTGCCGGGAATTCACTACGTATGATGCGTCTTCTCAGGCCGCTCGTAATATACGAGCGAAATGGATCAGTGGTCGGCCGCGTGTTTCGATGACTCTTTGTGGGGATTGGCGAGGACCAGTCTGGTTTTCACACAGAGTTTAACAGGTACACGGAACAGAATCAGAGTTCAAGAAGCTTGGCGCCTACGAGTGATGCATTCCGCCGCTGCCGACGCGCCGCAGGGTGTATGTCACTGCTGGTGTGGTTGGTCAGCTTTTTTAGTTTAGCCCCAGCGGGCTACCCGTCGTTATTGCGTTGCCCGTGCACGGGGCCCCCAGCCTTCCATCACCCTGCCCCATGTAATTTTCCCAAACAGTGGTCCTCCCTTGTGATACCCTCCTTTCTGTGATTTGGGGTCGGAACAGGTGGAGGCGGGAGGCACCAGGCCAAAATCGAGATTTGTTGCTTCCGCCATGGTTTTGTCATCACCGGTGAAGAAGCGAGACGTGGAGGAAGAAGACGAGGAGGAGCACGATGACGATGATGGGGAGGATGAGGTCGATGCGGTGACAGCCGAACAGGGAGAGGAATGGGTTCAGGGTCGGGGTAGGAGCGGGGGCAGGGGATAGGCGTAGAGGAACAGTGCAAGGGGGGGAGGAGGATCTGGGCATTGAAATTAGCAGGAGCAAGAGCGGCATGAGAAAGACCAGGGCATGAAAAGTCGGCTCCAGGGGAGTCGGTGGAGCAGTCCTTGCTGACCACGATCTCCCAAGGCGGCCCGTCCAGTCCTGCTGTGAGCGTGTGCGTTGTGCCAATCCTCTTCCGTGGCCGCGCGGGAGAAGCGACCGGTCCTCCCGGCATTCTGCTCTGCGCTCTGTTGTCTTCAGCAGGTCTCAACGGTGAAGGCGGCGGGGAACGAGAGAGGAGGAGGAGGAGGAGGAGGAGGAGGAGGAGGAGGAGGAGGAGGAGGAGGAGGAGGAGGAGGGGGACGAGGAGGGAGGAGGAGGAGAGGAGGAGGAGGAGGAGGAGAGGAGGAGAGGAGGAGAGGAGGAGGAGGAGGAGGAGTAGGAGGAATTCGCTGGAATTTGCTAGTATCCACGAGGTGGTAAAGAGGAGGAGGAGGAGGAGGAGCAGGAGGAGGAGCAGGAGGAGGAGGAGGAGGAGGAGGAGGAGGAGGCAGAGGAGAAGGTGGAGGAGGAGGAGGAGGAGGAGGAGGAGGAGGAGGGGGACACCCTCAGTTGTTCTGAAAGGTGGACGTCTGTTGATCTGCCAGCTGCTCCCTGTTGGCGCCCCCGCACTTGTGCATATACCCGGGGGACAGGGTGCGGAGCCTTAAAGACAAGCACCAGGTCCCCAACGGTGTGGTACCGCGCCCAGGCCGCTGTGCCAAGAAGTTGGGCTCCTCGTCGGACCCCCAAGATGCTCCCAATATGGTCGGCCCGAACACGCCTCACGAGCAGGATCTTCGGTTTCTCGTCTCCATACGCTTCCAAGAGGACATCATGAGGCCTGGAGAGGGCCTAAGCGATCCTCGATAACTGACCCCGCGGGCACAACACGGCCCCAATGGAGTCTTGAAGCCCGTCAAGAGGGCTTCTGGAAGGGGCCAAGGTCCAAGTGGCCAAGAGACGCCTCGACCCTCCTTCCGTGGACGTGCCACGTATCAGAATGTTGCATTTCCGGTGTTAATATGGGTTTCTCTTTGCGCCAGATTTGCGTGACCTCGATCTTGTTTTCTCTTCTTGTTCTATGTGCACCGTTGTTTTTTTCATATTGTCCAAGCTTGTATTGGAAGGGCACGCAGCTACGCACCATGACGTCTACCCTGGAAGCCGGGGGCACCGTGCTCCTGCGACAGGGTGCCCTCAAGGGCGCCCTGGTCGATGGGGTCTATCAGTTCCTCAACATTCCGTACGCCCAGCCACCAATTGGAGATCTGCGTTGGAGGGCCCCGCAGAAGCTGGACACCAGTGACGAAGCTGGATCACTCTGGGACGGGGTCCGCGAAAATCCCAGAGTGTTGTCGAAATGCCCCCAGCCCGCGCTACCGTTTGATTTTGAGGGTCCGCCGATTCGCGGCCATGCCTGGCAGGAAACCGAGGACTGCCTTATTCTGAACGTGTTCGCGCGAGGGCCGCCTCTTCTTCCAGATGATGGCAGCAAGGCGCCAGTGCCTGTCATATTCTACATTCACGGTGGTGCTGGAAAGTTCGGTTGTAGTCACACTGACGGGCTCAGCGGGCATCAATTAGTAAAAGCGCAGGACGTGGTTTATGTGAGTGCTAATTATCGGTTGGGCATTTTTGGCTTTCTGGCGCATCCTGAATTGAGGGCAGAGGAAGAAGAAATTGCAGGTCAATCGTGCCAATTGGCCAATGGAAGCTATGGAGTTCTCGATTTGGTCGCCGCGCTGACGTGGGTGCAGGAAAATATCAAGGAGTTTGGCGGCGACCCGACCCGAGTCACGATCTGGGGCTTATCGACGGGTTCGCAATTAGTGCATTGTTTGCTGGTGTGCCCACAGGCGCGCGGCCTGTTTCACTCTGCGATGATGCAGAGCTGTGTGGATTTTGGAAACGTGCGAAAGCTGACCGGAGCAGGCGCCGATATCTGGCAGGGCAAGTCTGCAGAGCAGTGGGGCGAACTTGCTGGGGAGGAGTGGGGCTGTCCTCGCGGCAAAGGGCAGCTTGCCAAAATGCGCGAGGTCTCTGCTCAGACATTGGCCGGGGCCAGCTTCGGCACGGCAGCCAACGATGCTTATCTGCCCGCGACGGATCGGCGACCAGGTTCCTCAAGACCGTACTCCACGGCGGAGGCGTTTTTTTTTTGAAAGCGTTGTTAATGGGAAAGGTAGCATCGATGTCGTGAATCGAGTGCCTCTAATGATCGGATCCACCGAGCAGGACGGGCTGGGGAAGATGGAGCTCGAACACATTCTGTTCGAGGATATCACGGACGAAGCTGCTCTCGCGAAGTTACTCGAGCGCGAGTTTCCGAATGACGACACGCTCAGAGAGAAATTCTTGAATGATTTTTATCCGCATGACGATGAATTCCGTGATAAAATGGTTCAGAGATTCAAGGATTTGCAGGAGGTAAGTGGAAGGTTGAAGGACGAAGAAGAGACACATCATGTGGAGCAGGTATTGGCGGATTGGTCAAAGGATATATGGTATGAGGCAGGGACGTGGATCATGGCAGACGCGATGGCATCTCTTGAATATGAGGGAGGAGCGGTGCCAGTCTTCCTTTATCGGTTTACAGAGAAGGTGAAATGGTACGAAATAGAAGCTGAAGCCAGATCAAGCCACGCCAGCGATCAGCGGCACTGGAACGGTATGAAACCGATCTATTTCAAGGAAGGCGTCACAAATCAGCTTCTCAAGAGTGCTGCTGCCGGAGAAGAAGCTCATGCTAGGAATGCAGGTCTCTTGCTTGGCAGGGAGAATGAGGGTGTGGTGGCGTACGAACCCGAAACCTCGGGAAAGTACAAGATCCTTTCGCACACAGATCCGGGGGACACCGTGTTAGGAAAAACAATGATGAAGATGTTGGGAAATTTCGCACACACTGGCGACCCGAACTCTGGACCGAATTTTGCAGAGGAGTTCACAAAAGTATGGACGTGGAGAAAACATTTACCGGGCGCCGTGGAATACATGGAGCTTGGTCCGAGACTGGGGATGCAGCGCATATCAGAACAAGTGCGACGTCGCTATGACTGGTTCCTCGAATGTTATATCAAGCGAAGAGTATTGCCAGAGGTGCAAAAATAGTTACTCCTAAAGCTGCCGGTTTCATGTTCAACTCCATGAATGCGCCACGTTGTCATAGAAAAGGTATCAACTTGAGTTTTCGACGGCTTTCGGCCCATCCCGCCACTACGCTCGGTGTGTGTGTGTGTGTGTGTGTGCGAGGCGCAGTAATAACATGATCGGGATTACCGCGGCTCCCTAGGACCCGGCCCTCTTGGGACGACTTTCTTCGGCGTCTATTTGGGGGCATCTTGGATGTTTGAGCCTCTTTGGGGGTTCTCTCTGGGGCCTCTTGGAGATATCTTCGTGGGTCCCAGGTGTGTATGTGTGTGTGTGTGCGTGTGTGTATGTGTGTGTGTGTATTGGATCAATCTTGGAGTGCATGCTTTCAGCGATATTACAGTAACACGGTCTTTGTTTTTGTTGAACAGTCGTGGGCATTTCGGGGGTTGTCTTGAGCAGTTTCGTGGTTTGGGCCGTTTTGGACGCTCTTCAGACAGAAACGGTCAGAATACTAAACACATCCAGCACATTCACGCTTTTTAATGTTTTTTTTTATGCAGTGGCATTCGGCCCATCCCCATCCCCACCCCGCCACCGTGCCTGGGTTGTAGGTCAGAGCCTTTGGGATGCACGTGGGGATCTCTTAGGAGGCCTCTCGGAAGCTCCTTGGATTTTGACCTGGAGGGTCTTGGGGGCCTCTTGGTGGTCTCTTGCTGGCCTCCTTGGGGCCTGCTTTGGACTCCTCGGGGGCCGCCTGGAGCCTGTGGGGGTCCTCTTGAGGGCCTTTTTTCAGGCGCCCCCCCCCCTTCCCCCACCTCGTTATCAGAGGTCGCGCCACCTTCTTTCGCATCCCAGCCGAGGCGACGAGGGCAGGACAGGTGTGCACGGCTTCGGGATCACCTCCATCAGCCATGAGTCAGCCAGTGTGGGGGACCTCTCGGGGGCCTGCTGGCGGTCTCGAGGGCCATCGCTCGGGCCCCCCTCGAGGCCCCACTTGGGCCGCCTCGGGCGCCCCTCTTTGGGGCCGTCCTGGAGCGTCGAAGGCCCGAGGGGACGAGAGCACGGACACCCCGGCCAGCCCTTCGAACACCGCAAGGGAAATCAAGGACTGGCACCTCGGGGCCCTCTTTTGGGGTGCCTCTTGGAGCCCCCATCGGGGCGTCTTGGGGGCCTCTTGGGCCGTCTGCGGGCCAGAAGGGTCGTCCAGGAACGATATTTGGGCGACTCCGGGCCATCTTAGGCTGTCCCGGTAGCCCCTTGAGGCCCTCGTGGCCCGTCATGGGGATTGTCGGGCCGTTGGAAAGGAGCGCGCCGGAGCGCCAAGAGGATTTGGGAACTGAGGTCCATTGCCCCTAATCATCATATTCCAGTTCTGACAACAGAGAAAAGAGAACTCTAGAAGCCTGGGGAACACTCCCACGTCGTGCCTGGAGGCACGGTGGCGGATTTGGGGCGGGTCACCCAGGGCCTCCCAAGGCAGCCCATGAGACCCTCTTGATGGCTCCAAGGCCAGCATTGCAGACCATATCAGGGCACCTTGGGAGCTTGGATTCCAAACCTCGCTCCCGATGCCTCGGGAGGTATCGCACGCGGCGCATCCCAGGAAGGTCCAGAAGCGACCAATCGATCCGTGAGTTGGGTGTCTGGGGCCTCTCAAGGGTGTTCCCCAACCAGTGCTTCAGGCCAATAATAGCGAACACCCATGCCACATTCATCGGTCAACGCTTCCCCCTCTCCCCAATGTTCAAAGTTAGCGGTGGGTCTGATGAGTTGCACTTCGACCGCAGTCTCTCCCCCGCGCGTGCCAACTTTGAGTTTGGGGGAGGGGGAGTGTCCACTAATTGTTGCCCTCTACCGTTGCATTCAGGGCCTCCTCCTCGTGCTCTGAGCACCTGGCGTTGTCCCTCTCGGATCGGTCGCTGGTGCGTAGCCTCGTATATACATATACATGTATATATGTATAGAGAGAGAGAGAGAGAGAGAGAGAGAGAGAAAGACAGACAGACAGACAGACAGACAGACAGACAGACAGACAGACAGACAGACAGACAGACAGACAGACAGAGACAGACAGACAGACAGACAGACAGACAGACAGACAGAGACAGACAGACAGACAGACAGACAGACAGACAGACAGACAGACAGACAGACAGAGAGAGCCTCCAATGGCCTGACTTCGCATGATTTCCCCCATTGGCCTCCCGATGCCTCCCGCCCCAGAGGCCCTGTCCGTCTTCTGCTGGGGTCGGCCATGTATGCTCGGAGGAGGCCCCTGTGGAGGCATCGTGGCTCCTTGGGGGCCTCTTCGAGGCCTGGGGGAACCTCTTGGAGGGTTTTTTGGAGCCCCCTGAGGGGCTCTGGGAGCCTTCGGGGGGGCCTCGGGGGACCTTCTTGGCTTCTCTGAGAAAGTCCGCTGCTGTGCGTGGGTTATGGGGTGTCTCTCAGGGGCCTGCTTGGGCGCGTGTTGCGAGCTTCTTGGGGGCCTCTTGGGAGCTTTTGGGCGGCCTCTTGGTGTCTTAAGGATCTCTTTGGGGCGTCTTGAGAGCCTCTTGGGGGCCTTTTGGGGTGTCTGTGGAGCCTTCTCGAGGCATGTTGGGGCTCTTGGGAGTCATCTTGGAGGGAGAGGCTCCGCAAGCCCCTTCGATTTCTCCCTCTTGGGCCCATTTCGGGGGCATTGTCGGGCCGCCTCGAGACCATCTTGGGCCTTCTCGGGGGCCTCTTGGCTCGACTTTGGGGCGATCTTGGAGGTTTCTTTGGCCGTATTGGAGCGTTGAGGGCCGAACAGGCGAGAACGCTTAATTCTTCCAAAATTCATTAATTTGGCCTCTCGGGGCCCTCTTGGGGGATCTCTTGGAGCCCTATTAAGGCGTCTTTGGGGCGCTTCTTGGGCCGTGAAGGGGCCATCTTGGGCGTCTTGGGGCGCTTTCGCCTCGCGGAACTCTCTTGGACCATCTTGGGGTCTTCCTGGGGCGTCATGGGGCCGTGTGGGAAGCGCTCTTGGGGGTCACCCAGGGGTTCACCCATCCCGTGTAGGACCTTGCCGGGACCTTGCAGGACCATGCCGGAGGTTTGTTGGGGTAGTTTCTCTCCGGGGGCCCCCAGGGGCAACTACGCGCGCGCGATTCAAGGAGGCATCATATTTTACCGGAGATTCTGCCAGGGCCAGGCCGTTGGGCCGGCAAATGTTGCCAGGGTTTCGATTGCTCCCGTTGGGCCTCCCCTCGAAGGCGGCCAGTCCTTTCCTGTCCTCCCCTGTCCTCCCGCGTCCTCCCCCTATCCTCCCCCTATCCCCCCCTCTGGCCCCGCCTCGTCCCCCTCCGCCGCCTCACCCTCCTCCGCCCCCTCCCGCGGGGCCTCCCCTTCGGAGGCGGCCGCGTAGTCGTGGTCTCCGGCGTCGTGCTGGCGATCGCGTGGGGCTCCGTGGTCTGGCTCCCGCCGCCGTTCGACACGTTCCTCCGCGCGGGCCCCGCGGCAACCCGCAGGGGAAGGGGGGGCGCCGCGCGCCTCGCCTCCTCCTCCTCTCCCCCCTCCCCCCTCTCTCTCTCCCTCACTCTCTTTCTTTCTTTCTTTCTTTCTTTCTCTCTCTCTCTCTCTCTCTTTCTCTCCCTCCCCTCCTCCTGCCTCCCCTCCCCTCCTCCTCCTTTTCCTCCTCCTCCTCCTCCTGCTCCTCCTCCTCCTCCTCCTCCTCGTCCTCCTCCCTCCTCCTCCTCCTCCCTCCTCCTCCTCCTCCTCCTCCTCCCCTCCCCTCCCCCTCCTCCTCCCCTCCTCCTCCTCCTCCTCCTCCTCTTCCTCCTCCTCCTCCTCCTCCTCCCTCCTCCTCCTCCTCCTCCTCCTCCTCCTCCTCCTCCTCCCCCTCCTCCTTCCTCCTCCTCCTCCTCCTCCTCCTCCTCCTCCTCCCTCCTCCTCCTCCTCCTCCTCCTCCTCCTCCTCCTCCTCCTCCTCCTCCTCCTCCTCCTCCTTCCTGCCCCCCTCTCTCCCTCTCTCCCTATCCCTTCCCCTCTTCGTCCTCCTCGCGACAATGAGAGGGGAGCAGCAGGCTAGAGGGCAGCCGTGAAGAGCGGGCGCTACCCTGCCCGCAGACCCCTGCGTGGGGGAGGACGGTGCAGACAGGGGCAGTGCGCCTCGCGGCGTCAGCGACCCTTTGTAGGCGAAATGACCACAGCCAGGCCGCACTATGTCTCTAGCCGCTATCGTGTGCTGGTCGAGGCAGCGTAGCACCAAACGGCCCGAGAGCTCGATCGATCGATCGACCCTCCTCGCAGACCACGCAGACCACAAGGGTGCCCTGTCACTCTAGGAGCAGCGGGCACCTCACTACATCTAATCACTATCACTCGACTGACTCCTGCCACCGGAAGAAGGGGCTCATCGTCCCCCCCTCCGTCCAACACACGGACCCCAACAGGGGTCGGGATCGGCACCACCAAGGGTCCTTGGACAGGAGCAGGAGCACTAGGAGTGACGCTACCTCCCTGGGACAAGGAGGGGGGAGGGGAAGGCGCCAAAGGGGGCAAGGGAAAGGAAGGAAGCGACAAGAGGGGAAAGGTTTGTCCCAGGGTGTAGCTTGAACCAGGAAGAAGCCCGCGGAGGAGCTTCGACCTCTCAGAAGACCGCTTCGGGTTCAAACATGGTTTCGACAGCTTATCAGACTTAAGCGAAGCGAAACCACCGCAAAGCACACAATACATGATTGGGACATCCGTTTCCACCACCCTGGCCCAGTGTAACTTATGCCCAGACCCCGCTCCTCCCCGCAGGAGGGAAGACATGGTCGGGGAGAGAGACTGGCAGGGGGTGGTGGTCCTGTCGGAAACAACCCTAAGACATTGGAGACACCTGAAGACCGACCCGTGGCGGATGGGGTCGTGTCGAGGGCCAGCTCCCGCCCTAAACTTCACCTTCGGGAGCCGAGCCAATTTACCGAAGTGCTCCTCGAAACTTGGCCACGCACAGAGACTGTGCATGGCTCCGATCACCATGCTGGAATATTCAGCCTCACCTTTGTCGAAGTCTTCGAGCTCCCACACACATGGTCCATATATCTACCTTGGCTCACGTCCGCGGTAGCAACATAATTGCGAAATTTGACAGACCTGCTTCCTCATGTAGACGAGCAGGTAGGATACAACTGAGCCCAATGTGACACATAACGGCCACCATGAAAATTGAACGACTTCACGACCTGCGTCAAACACTCAAGGCCGTGGGAAATGTAGTGGTGAAATACGCTATCGTCCCGAGCAGATGGCTGCACAGAACTCAAAAAACTTCCTCTTGGCGGTCTGCTTGGAACACTTCATGCACTCGAGCTCCTGGCCAACTCGTGCTTGTCGGAAAGGAAGAAGGACATGGCATCGGTTGCCTGGTGTCTCGGTACGTTTGTTGTGTTCCACGATCAATTGATTATAATCATCTGGCGTTCGCTTCTGGCCGCATTGATGTGGCCCTGACGGCATAACTCCAGGTGTGCAAAGTAGGCGAGGCCACGTACTGAAGCGACCAATACCCGCAGTGGTGAACTCGCACTGGATGCAGTACAAGTGCGGGTCTTGGTCGCGCCTGGCTCCAGTGAGCGGCCCGAGCACATGATAGCCTTGCTGTCGGGCCTCTCGGTTGTGGAGAAGCCGTTTCTGTTCATCAATGAGAGTTCGTCCTTGTAGGCTTTGAAACTTTCGCTCCTCATCTGGCGTCCAGGTAATCACGTTGCGTAGCTTCTGGACAGATACGACATTCCTGGTGTGGGTGCCTCTCTCCGCGAGCGCTGCCACAGATTGCATAGCCCGTGTAGAAAGATCACTATCTCGAACAGTCTTGGCGATATTTTCCTGGAGACGTGGAACGTTCCAGATCGGCTTCGGGGGCGAGCACCAATCAGGACGAACGTCTAGGCTGCCTTTGCGATCTGTGGAGGCGAGGGCCAAAGCATAGATCACCTTCATCGTGTGCTGGTGGGCCAAGAAGGCCGCTCGACATTTGAACCCTGGAGCTTTCCGAAGTCCAAGAGGTATCAGAGCGCTTATCTCGGCGTTGGTCTCGCGTGGAGCCAATTTGCACTTGCACAGTTGAGCCATTCTCGTCGCTGCAGTACTGAAGTATCGGGCCATCTTCGCATCACTGGCACTCTCCTGTGGAGTGACGAGAGGGAGGCCAGTTACCATAGTGAAGTCGATGGCAAGTTCGGCCCAGGACACAGACATTGGAGCTCGCACTGTATCGTCTGCTTCCCATTTCAGTTGTGAAAAATACCATACCACCGCTGGGAATAGAGATTGCTGATAGTACCAAGCTCGATTAGCGACCGTCTCGGGTAGGATCGGCTTGAACTTCCACTCGTGTATATTCGGCTGGATTGGATCCCATTGGTAACCTGGACAGGCAGCCTTCGGGGACCAGTTCGTCGGGTTCGTGGTGGATTGATCTAGGGCCAGGCCAGTCGATGCCACCTGGGGCCTCGCGCTCGATGAAGAGCTTGGCCCCCAGGGGGTAGTTGCTGTCTGGTTTGCTTCTGGTGGTGCTTTGCATACTAGTCGGCGCCGTCGCGAAGGTGTTGGGGCCGAAGATGCTGACTGTGGTGGTGGCGAAGATGCTCGTCTTGGCTGTGGCAGGGGTTGCTCGTCGTCCGAGTCCATGCCCAGATGCGCCCACGGATCCTCTTCGTTATCCTCATCAGGTTGCACAAGTTGTTGACCGTCAAGTTCGGCTTGCTCCATAGCTCGAGCCTGCTCGCACCTGGCATGGTGTAAATCCCTTCCCAGCTCTTTCAGCTCCTTGGCTCGGTGCATGAGAATGGCCGTCGCTGTGTGCTGGAGGAGGTAGCATAACTTCTGTTCTTGTCGATGTTGTTGCCGAATCGCCTCTGGTAGGCCGTGGGACCTCGCCGCGCGTACAGCTCCAGCATCAGCTTGATTGTTCAACTCCCACAGGTGGCGTTCATCTTCTGGAATATCTCGCCCACGTCGGTGGGCTTTGACCTTCTGAATCCGAAATAGCTCTCGCCCCTTTGCATTGAGTCCAGTCTCGATGGCCTGCCAGAGGTCGGTATGCTGCTTGATGTGCAATGCTTCTCCTCGAAGAAGTGCAGAAACATTGCGAATACAATAACTGCTGTCAGTCAAGTAGATCTGCCTGCCCCAGCTCCATGCCACGAAGTGGCGGAGTGCTGCAACCTCGGCGCGCTGAGCACCTTGGGCCACACTGCGTAGGGGTACTTCAACGTTGCAAGGATGTCCACTGCCGTAGTATAGTGAATACCCCGACCTGCGGAGACGCAAGTCGGACGCCTGGCCAGGACATGACCCGTCACCTGCTACCACAGTGAAACCGTCGATCTTGGTGAGAATACCGTCTTCATCATCTCCCACTTCGTACTCGCCGTCAGCGTGATGTGGCGGTGCACGTAGAGGAGGATCATCTGGAAGTAGCTCGCATGCAAATGCGTCGTATTCTGGCTTGCCTGGAAGTTGACCACAACACAAAAGGCACGTCGGTAGCGCAAGAAGTTCTTCTCGCGTGTAGCTGTCCAGGAGCGCTCTTCGTTGTGTTTCCCATCTGGGGCAGTCCAATAAGACGTGCTGCATGGTCTCGTCGGGGGCGAGGCAGAACGGGCACTTCATGTGGGCTGGATTCTAAGTGATATAATGCAGTCTATGTCCAGTGATGGTGCCACCTTGTAGATAAGCACGCAAGAAGGGAACCTGCTTGGTAGTCAAGTTGGGTACTGGAATATCTGAGGATCCAAGTAGTAGCGGTGGCTGCTCCTTCGGCTCTTCGTCTACGTCCTCGTCGTCAGGCTTGGTGATGCGGTCAGCCTTGCGCAAGATGGACGCGGTTACGTGGTAATTCAGGCCAGCAGAGCAGCCCTTCATATCCTTGCGTTCTTGCAACTGGGGGTCGGATCGCCACGCGAAACGTCGTAGGTCCTCTCTCAGTATATGCTGCCACCAGCCCGTGGGGTGCTTGGCGAGGTAAACTCTTTGATGATTTGCCCTCTCGAAGTAGTCGAAGGCTGGCCAGGTCCATTGTAGGTCTTTCAAGACTGAGCGGATTCTGTTGATTGGCCCAGTATCGTTGCCCTTCACATTACATGTAACTCGATGCTGCAAAATACCCCAACACTGCTTCGCACGCCGTAGTAGTCGTGGTGCACTCGGGCTGGAGAAAAGCCGCCTTGCTATCACCAGCGGCTGGGCAGTGGCAATCTGCACAGGGTCAAGCAGGTGACCTCGAGTAATAAGAGTTAGAGTGATGGCTGGGGAACGGTACGATCTCCCCCTTTGCCACATACTTTTTATCACCGCCGATCTGAAATTGAGATGGTTGCGTTTCGGCAGTCGTCGGTATTCCATCCCTGGCGCAAGACGCGGCAAGGCCGCAGTGGCCAAGGGACGCTGCTTTCCCTGAAGTCCAAGTGGGGCTGCTCCAGTGCGTTGTGTCACACGATATGCTGAAG